AAGTCGGGACTTTGGTACTTTTTGAGTGAAAATAGCGGGATTCTTCCGTCAAAAGCGGGACATAGTAAAAAAACGTATACAATCAAAGGTTTTCAAACATTTATCTTTTTATTTGACTTAAAATTACGTTTACGTGACAATAGATAGCAAAAGTAGCCATAGAAAATGTATTTTAACAAAAAAATAATATTTTAAATCAGATTAACTCTATCGTTAAATTCGTCTTTAGAATAAAAAAGGAAAAAATAAACCAAAATCGAAATAAAAAAAAAATCTTTAGAATAATATGGCGTTTCAAACAATAGTCTGGTGAAGTGAGTGTCTCTCTCCGAAAAGCGGGACCGAGCCTGTCCCGCGCGGGACATATAAATTTTATTTAAAAATCGGGACGTCCCGCCAAAATCGGGACGTCTGGCAACGCTGGTCACAGTCTAGGGAATTAATAACAATTATTATCCTCATATGAGCTCCTGTTTTTCGCTACTAAGCCTAGAGATTTGAATAAATTCAGAAATGTAGAGTTTGAAAGCTATCACGATGTTGATCTTTATTTGTTACTCATGTCTGTAATTCAATCCGTTTTAAGGTAATTGACACCAAATATAAAAACGAACCCTCAATTCTCATGAAAACAGCATTCCTATCCAATAGGTAGGCAGATATAGAAAGATATAAGTATAAAATAATGATATGTAGCAACCAAAACTAACGACATTTAATAAAATATTTGTCTCAATCCATCCTTGTCAGAGTTGACCTGCCCTTGTGCCGTCCAAGAATTCACATTTATGGAAAATTACTTATCGCCATATAGGCAAAATTTTACATAACAATCTAGCCTCGCAACAACAAAGTTTCGCCATACTTTTCGCTGCAGTCGACGTGTAAGATAACTCGCACCACGGAGCGATTCAATTGTCGCGAACGAATTCATTTCACAAAACTCATCTTGCGGACGACGGGTGACGACACGACGCCGATGTCGGTCCGAACACGAAGCGGCATCGGTTTGAAATGTTTGTGTTTCTAACGCGATAAAAATATTTCACCTAGGCTGTAAAAGTTCAAGTGCCAGTATTGAGCGCCAAGCTTTTTATCACTTCCTGACATACGAGTAGCTCCTGGTTTAAATTATGTATTCAGAACATCATATTATGAATTCCGATCCAAAATATACTATTTATGTAACCTACTTTTATTACAAAATAATTAAGTAAATATAAAGTAATATGTATGAAAATATGTTAAAAATATAAAATGCATCTTGAGAAAAAAGTTTTCAGAGCAGTGTGCTTACCTTGAGTTTACGTTAGGTGTGCTCGCTAGCGACTGCGTAAAAAAATGACATTTAAATGTATGACATATTGTGCAGCGCCCCTAGCAGCTACTTTCAAGAAATAAAATCTTCATATAGTTTTTTGACGTTCTCGCTAGCGAGCACACCTAACGTAAACTCATGGTAAGCACACTGATGTTGAAGAAGTAGGGCTTGCCTAAACAATGAACTCTTTATCACCGCTTACATCCTGAAATAAGACAGTTTCAGGATTAAAGCTAGATACAATTGTATACTGATAGGAAAACTTAGTTTATCTCAACTTTTCAACCTAACATTTTATTTCTATTGTCTATTCCAGCGTTCGAGGTCCGAGGCGGCAACGTCGCCGACGCGTGCCCGGAAGCGTCACGGCCGCGTGAAGACCGGAAATGGGCAGGATGACCGGATCCTATCTCCGCTCCTACCTGCGGCCATGTTGTGACGTCACCCGCCCGCGCCCGCGCGCCTCGCTCACAATATATTGAGATTGTAACTAGATTTTGGAATTGTTGGGAAAATGGTCAAGAAAAATAACGTAATAGTTTTGAAATTTGTTTATTCTGTGTTGTAATATAAGCTTTTGTCTAAATTAAACATTCTCCACATATTTTATTATTTTAGTCTAAATTCATTAAGACTTCCTTACTGCTTCGATACTGCAATCGAAGAAAGTAATTAGTAATAGGCATTTCTTTAAAATACTCAATATTTGTCGTCGAATATTCTCTTCAGTATACATTCCTTCCATTTATTTTCATTGTTCTTATAGAAAATTTATGTTGTATTAAAAATCCTGGAATTTCGACCTCTTGGATGCCTGAAGTCACTGTTAAACTTTCTGACAATCTATTTCATACATCTCCCATTTATAAAACAAATGAGTTATTAATATAATGATGTAGAAGAATGTAGACTTTACCATTACAATATTAGGTATAGCTTGTTATAAACCTAAGTACATAACAATGAGATACTTATGCTCTACCTCCGTTAGGGTGGGGCTTACGTGAAAAATGGAAAATATTAAAATGCCTTACAGACAAGTTTCCACCGTAGTTTGTCGAAGAAGCATCCACCGGTTATCATTGCGGAGTGTATAATTGTTGGCAATTTCACGTTTCCATTCAGCCCTGAATGGCAGCCATTAGCAGAACTCGCGCCCTCTACAGCTAATAAGTGCATTTTGCTCTACAAGAATTCTTAGTGGCGTTTTAATGCCGTAGTTTTTCAAAATGGACGCCGTCGACTCCATTGTGCCCGATTGTGGTTATTAAGCAATTATGTTAATTAATAAAGTGTGAAACACCGGATTTTTAATTGTTAATTACCTGTGTAGAGCTTTTCAGTGCCTGGGTGAGTTACTGAAAATAGCCTGAAAAAAACTGAGTGCTTTAAATTTTAATTACTTTTCTACTAACCATTAACGACGCGTAACTAACTACATATCTGCTGTACCTAGTTGTAATGGCACAACTGCCCATTCTTCGATTAATAATAATGGTACAAAAATATATATTCAAATAAATTTGACTATGCAGGGCTTGGATTGATGATGAATAAAGATCACATAATTCGTTTATTAAACCTCTAATACTTCTGTTATGGGTTCGAATCCCAACCGGGACAAGTAAATAGTAAAATGTAAAAAAAACTTGTATACCTACTTAAATCGTACAAAGTACAAACGTAGTCAGTTAGATCAATTCTGTGATCAATCAATTTTTTATTTTTTTTATTCTCCAGCCGTAATTACCGGAGTCTGGTTTTAATTAATTTAGGTAGTCACCGCAAACCTGCAATAACGACTGAAAGAAAATGCTTAATATCCAAATCTTCAATTGGCAAAAAGAGATGGGTACCTACATACGAGTATAACTAATCGACTAACAGCTTGGTTTCGTATAGTGGCAGTTGTGTAAAAACACGTTCGCTGCTGACCGACCCCGCAGAAATAAAAGTAGGTAGCCCTGACAGGTCGGCTTTCCCGCCCACCGCTTGCGGTTTTCCGACCTCTCCCATATGTGCATGTGGATTGAGTGATCCTTGCTTCAATCTTAACAAAAATCGAGGAAGTTTTACTTAAAATATGTTAAAACATTGCGATGAAGTTTAAAAATTTGTTAAACCTAAGATAAAAATGTTATGGCCAATAAATAGGAGCACTCATACCGCACGCTTTAAGAATACGTCAACATGTTTATTTCAGAAAATAAAGCCTTTCCACTTCTNGAGTGCTCCTATTTATTGGCCATAACATTTTTATCTTAGGTTTAACAAATTTTTAAACTTCATCACAATGTTTTAACATATTTTAAGTAAAACTTCCTCGATTTTTGTTAAGATTGAAGCAAGGATCACTCAATCCACATGCACATCTCTCCCATCCGTCTACCAGATGGCACAGGGGTCCAACTCTGCAACCCAATCTTTGAATTTCGACTATATCTGTTGCTTTCGCTCATGGCAGCATCTTGGTAAGTGTAAGAAAGATGGATAGAGCCCAATGATAGATGTCGGACGTCGGAATAGCTCCTCAATGAACGCCGATCACGAATTTATATTAATTTAAGTATTTACCTTTTGAAACATAGCCAATTACAATAATAACGCACTAAATTACAAGTTGGGTGCAAGTAGTACATGAAGTAGTATCTGAAAATCATTAATTAAGTTTTGTTTATTCATAGTAATAAAATACAAACCGATACGTTTGTACTCAGCGTAAGCATAGAATAAGCTTCATAAATAAAATATAATTAGTTATAAATCTCAGAATTAGATAACAATAAAAAAGCTTGGGACTAGATCTTCTAGATATAAACATCGGCAATTTTAGGCAAGTTTAAAAATACTAATAAGCTTATTCAAAAGTAGGTGCCTAGGTAAAGTTGGGTCATATCGACAGATTCAACTATTTGTCCCACTTGCAAACTAATTCGCATATTCTCCTTGATACCAATTTGCGTAGACATTCCTCCAGCCGCAATTAGTTGGCAAGTTGTGTATATTAAGTAATTGCCAATTGTGCGGTCCCAATTATAGTTGCCGCTCCTTTGTCCAATGTTGTTGCTCGAATTTCTTCATATTCCAACGTATCCTGACAATGCACGGTCAGAGTAAGTCACGACTGGATACCCTGAGGGCATCCACCTGTGTTCCCTAAAGTGGAAATGTGGAAACACTTCTTATTTTTAATAATTTGTCGTTATTACGGGAGCGTGATCGTGAGCCTCAAAGGAGCCGCCTTCAATGCGTAGTTTTGAAAGCTAAATAACGAGACATTAATATCTGAATGCTCGACAGTCATACATCATGCAGGATGCTTGCAAACGATTCCAAGAAATACTATTGGAATTTTTATTTATTACTAAGCTTTTACTCGTGTTTTCATCAGCTGGTTGTCACAAAAGGACTACAGAGAACTTCGCTTGGATAGGTACTTTATATTCCTTAAAAGTAAATCTACCCTTTTATGGATAATTTCATTTCATTATCTATCGGATCAGCAGTTCCAGTAATGTAGTAAGTACTTAGCAAGTATTTACTACTTAAAGGCTTCTAAGAATTCTTAATCGCTAAATTTTTACTTCTTTATAATAATACAGATTTAAGTTCGATGGAAAATTTCGGGATCGCAGTAGGTAGATAAAGGTAATAAATCTTTTGAAAATAAACACGTAGGTACTAAGATAAATTATTTATTAAAATAATTCATAGAAATATCACAATAACGTATCTGTATCTGGTGTATCAATTACTTCGGAGTTGGCAGACACTTGCTGGGGGTCCAGAAGTTTCCTCTCAAGCTTCACGACTTCACTCCTTACTAGAATGCTGACGTACATCTGCGTAACTGTAAGGGGTTAAAGAATAAAAGTAAGTAAAACTGTAAAATAAGAGTAAGTGAAAATGGGCACGGCTCATAGTTCGTAGAGCTGATGGCCGTTGGGGCAAAAAAGTTCTCGATGGTGCCACCCTAGTGGTGGACCGACAACTTGGTGAAGGTTGCGGGAAGTGCCTGGATGCGGGCAGCGCAAGACCGGTCGTTAAAGAAATGCTTGGAGGAGGCCTTTGTTCAGCAGTCTTTTGGCTGAAACGAGCGAACAAAAAGTCGAGGTAAAAAGGATACACAATACTCGAAATTGGAACTCGCGACAGTTATTAACCAACGGTGTCGGTGTTGGTGTCGGAATAACCGAATCGAGATAGAAAATAACGCAGGTTCGAACCCCGCCGAGCTACACTATTTTATTGAGGTGAAACCAGCCTATAACACCAACATATTCAGGACTTTAAAGTTATTTAAAAAAAGTATTGTTGTTATCAAATGTAGTTTGTTATTAGCTATATTAATACAGCGTTAAGGATGCCCTTCTCTTACCAACTTATAACATCGTTCTATAACTGCAAACATAAGTAATCTTTATAAAATAAATGTAAATGATAAAATTAACTCACCTACAGCCGTCAGTCCAGCACAAACGTCCGCATACTGTCTTCGGGACAGCAAGACAATCAAAGGCACAAGCGCGGCCACGATAGTCAGCACCGCGTAATAGTTGTAGAGACGCAACATTGATATATCTTTCTGAAATATCAAAGAATCATTGGTAAGTATTGATGTGATTATGTGATGAACAGCAGTTCGTCATGGTGACAGAATTCTTCGAACTTTGGGGTTAATTACCAACTCTACACTAGAGACTGGACAGACGTGTGTCCAGTTGGTGAAACTCAACATTCATTAAATCACTTTGATGTGGTTACCAACTAAGTACGCGTTAAATTCTTGTCGTGTCCAGATGACGAAATATATTAGTGATATTAATTTTGTGTCCATCTCTTGTGTCGAAATTGTAAATAGCCCGAACTTTGCAACTAGATAAGTAGAAACATCCTGCCTGCCTACAAAAAGTATGTCCACTGTAAAAATGACTGATAATGACATTATTTCATAAAAAATATATTGAACCTGACTCCCTCCAACCAGCAGTAGAATGTTGAGTATGACGCCCATTCCCAGTATGCTGTACAGCACGGTCGCCGTAATGACTTCCAGCGAGGAGCCGTCAGTCAACGTGGAGCGCTTCACCTCGGTCGCCACCACGAGGCACGCTACAGCTAGCAGGGAGAGCAGCTGGAACATAAAGTAGGCAACTAATTCTAACAATCAACTAACAAACTAAGTAACTTGTAATAAGTACACCCAATAGTGATGAAACAAACGCTGGCCACACTTGAAAATTTCGACGGATTCATCCAGTGTCTAAGTAGGAACTCAGATGGAAGAGCAGTCGCCCGGAAAGCGAAAGATCGTGGGTTTGATTCTCACTTTAGACAGTTCGATTCAAGTTTAACAGACGTTGAACGTAACGGGTGTTATAAGAAATGTCAGACATCATTTTGGACTTAGAGACATAGACCGTAGAAAACATTACAGTACCTCTAGCATGAAAAACTTTCGACTTCGAATCGCCATCGAAAGATTTAGTATGAAAACTTAAACAGCGCCCCTGTGAACGTGATGTAAAGTTCACATATGTGAGAAATGGTAGCACGAAACCAATCGTCACATTATCGAATTCGAAGGCTGGCGAACGATTTTCGAGTCGAGAGTTTTTCGTGGTAGGTAGAGGTAGGCTTCTCTTTCGAGCTCCATTTTCTTTTATCACACCAGAGGTAAGAGAGGTAAGGGCACAATCACGTCAGGTTTATGAGTAGGAATGTGAGCCCTCCAAAGCATAGAATCGTACTTGTATTTGTGGAAATCAATTTTATTAAATTAACTGCAATAGGTCCTACTCATCAAACTAGGAGCAATCACACAGTGATTTTACATTAGCTGCTGCTCTATATGCTACTGAGTTGGTTAAATATTATAATATTGAAGATAATGTATAATTGTATAAAACTTACAACATTAATAAGTCCAAATACCACAATCCCATAGCGGAGTGGTAAACAGCAACAGCACCTTTTGACCTCAGGCACTTTTACGTGCATTTTATAAGTGATTCACAAAACACACTAACGCGCACTAACAACACTCTTATTGTCCACTTACTTAGCAAATGATTAAACAATCATAAATAATACTGGCAGGGACAGACACAGTTATTTACAAAGATAATTCCAGTAACCCCGATAGGTACAATGTCAAGGGTGCATTGACTTGGCATCACAAGATTTATTCAAGCGCATTCTTAATAATCTAGACTAGGCAGTCAAACATATTATTATTACGATTTACAATGTTGTGGAAATATAACGTGATTTAGCTTGTATGTAAAATTAATGTTGGAATAAACAGCCATTTTAAAAATTGATATCTGAAAGTTACCTATCTGTAACTCAATTTCGGTTGATTTCCAACTTACAGGAACGATTCATAGTAAAGCTTATGGGTCCCATTGCAGTGGGCATCTTACTAAGACTTGTGAATGGGTGGCACTGCTCAATTTACTTTGTTTTTATTTTTTCTTCCTTTATTATGTGCCACTGTCATGTTTATGTAATTTCCTGCATTTGTGTGATGTCCATTGTAATAAATGTATCTTTCTTTCTAAAGTTCATGATCTTTGTCTAAGTACCAGAGCGGTACGTGAAAATGCGATCCTGCAAAAAACGGGATGTCTCAGTGGAAACAAGCCCTCACACTTGCATAGTAAAATACTGAACTCCATCTTAACAATTCAAAATTAATTTAACCGATTTGCGATGTCAATAATATTCCTGCAGTCTCTATTAGTTAAGCGCAAACACTCAGTTAATGGCGGGAAACAGATGGTAATTGAACGAAAAATAAACAAATACACCGAAGGGGATATAATCGGACCGTGCTGAGGGTCCGACACTGGGTGGCGCAATTATGCAATAACTCCAATGAGCAATCATTTACTTTGTAAATTAAATGTCCCACGGAACACCGATGGATGCTAATATTTTATTTTTGATCGATAATCGTTATTAGGTAATTGTTTTTACATGAGTTATGAAATTAGTCACTGAGGATTTCTTGGGCTGATAATGGAGGTTTAACCCTCCAACTAAAATCGTGGCTGCACTGATTTTCAGCGAGCGCCTTGGGCACTTGGGCATGCTGCTTAACTAAGTATATTATAATCTTATTTACTTATACAGGGTGGAATTTTGTAATGACACCTGGAGGGAAAGTACCTACCTACTCTTAATACTGTAGATAGAAAATTTTACTGAAGGAAAACATTCCTTAATTTTTTTAAAGAAAGAGTTCGAACTGCATTCGAAGATTTTCGAATTCTTTTCGATAATTTACTACCACACCATACAATTTTCTGTGCCCAATTAAAATAGGTAATTTAAGATTTCATGGTGTTCCTTTCATTTAATTTATCAAGTTTGTTAGAGAGATTTCATCCTTACTTAACCCTAACGATCGATGGCGATCGATGCAATAAAAATAAACTTTTTTAAAAACAAGCTTTTATTCTGAATTTCGAAAGNAGGGGTAGGGGGGGTCACGCCCGGCAGTGAAAAGACTGTGAAACCGAGTGTCTCAAGGGCGAGGAGGAACGCCTCACCCTCTCAAACGTGCCTTCCAGGAGGCCAAGGTTCACAGCCTAATATACCGGCGGCGGCAGGAAATTTCAGCGCCTTGAAAAAGGCACTGTCGGTCGCTCCCAATCGAACCGAACCGCCTTTAGAAAGGCGTTTAACTACGCTTGTTCGTTATCACCGTTAGGTATCCCAAGCGCAGCCGCGGGCAAGCCACGTAATTGAGAAAAAACACCACAGAAACAAGACTCGCCGAGAGAGGGCGATAAGCTAGAGGAACCCGGAGCGCAGCGCATGCGAGCGGGCGGGCGAGGCGGAGCGCACGTCCGTACCGTTCGAGCGATGCGAAGCGAATGTGCGGGATCGTGCATTTCTGGATCCCGCACACTGAACTGAATTCTATTGCTGTGGGAGCCCCTGACTTGTCTAATAATGTAAAAGTGAATGAGAGCCTTCATGGATTTTATAGCGGTAATTGCAAGTAAGTAATGACTTTCTAGTACTAAATAATCAATAAATGCAGCCATAATTAAGGAGTTAATAGTATTCATGATTTAAAAAAAATCCTAGTCAAGGTTAGAAAGGAAAAATGGTTAAAACTAAAGTGGCCAAATTACATTTGCCTAAACCATAAATGTCTTTGCCTATCTGACATTTAAAAACTTAAGTTTTAGTAATCTGTGCACCGCTGGTCTTTTCGTGCAGTTTGGAATCTAATTTTTATTCTGATTTATTTACTTTCAACAAAGACACTAAAGTTAGATTAAAACACACATAAATCCTACAATTTGAGGTAAATGCACAAACGCTATCTAACATTTTAGTAAAAGCAAAAGTTACTAAAAATTTTTGAGGTTAGGTAACATACCGTGCATTATTTTACGAGTATTTACGTAATTATTTAGTTAAATAGTAGTTAACTATGCAAATGCCTTTTATTTATTGAATGCTGAAGCGAAACTGTTAGTTTTTGAGATGATTCAATATTATGTGAAATGTTGTAAGAATAGGCCAATACTGGTGCTAACCTCAGTTATCAGTTCAGTTTCGTATAAGAATCTTATAACATTTTCCAGATATGGCAGCGCAGTTGTTTAACCGTATTGGCCAGGTTGGCTTGGGTGTGGCGTTAGTTGGTGGAGTAGTGAACTCTGCATTATACAATGGTAAGCATATCCTAATGTGTATAACACAAAACCCACATAGTTTTAGTTACCAAGAGAAATAATGTAAAGGAATTTATTAAATAACACTTATTGTTGGATACAACTTTAGTTTTAGTTGTGCATTTGTGAAAAAGCTACATTCAAAGAATAAGAAATTCAAATATTGTAAGTTGTTTCATCAAAATACAAATATGATTTCACCAATTTATGACCATTATTATTGTAAATTTTACTCATCATATAAAAAATGTGCATATTACAGTTGATGGAGGTCACAGAGCTGTCATCTTCGATAGATTTGCTGGTGTCAAGAACCTCGTAGTGGGAGAAGGCACCCACTTCTTCATCCCCTGGGTGCAAAAGCCCATCATTTTTGACATCCGATCCAGACCCAGAAATGTGCCAACCGTGACTGGTAGCAAAGGTACGTAACAATTTACACAGTATATTTTAAATTGTAAAAACAAGTGAATTTGTTGAGTCACCTTGGATCATACAGCAAAGGGAAAGACAAACTGTATCTACCAGTTAACCATAATCATCTTATAAGAAACTATGTCAAATCTCATGTCTTGTTTCTTTTATTCCAGATCTTCAGAATGTGAACATCACCCTCCGTATCCTATTCAGACCTGTACCTGATCAGCTGCCCAGAATCTACACCATTCTGGGCATTGACTATGATGAAAGAGTTCTTCCATCAATCACATCTGAAGTTTTAAAAGCAGTAGTAGCACAGTTTGATGCTGGAGAACTTATCACACAGAGAGAGGTCAGTAATATTCATTTACTGAACATAACGTTTGATTAAAAATACATCAAGTATATTATTATTCTAAAATCATGACTTTCTTTTTCAGGTTGTTTCACAAAAAGTGAACGAAAGTCTGACGGAGAGAGCAGGCCAGTTCGGTTTGATTTTAGATGACATTTCAATTACACATCTGACTTTCGGCAAGGAGTTCACACAGGCTGTAGAGTTGAAACAAGTGGCACAGCAGGAAGCCGAAAAAGCGAGATTCCTTGTAGAGAAAGCCGAACAACAGAAAAAAGCCGCCGTTATCGCAGCTGAGGGTGACGCCCAGGCTGCAGTCTTACTTGCCAAGTCATTCGGTCAGGCTGGTGAAGGTTTAGTCGAGCTGCGTCGTATTGAAGCCGCAGAGGACATCGCCTACCAACTATCGAAGTCTCGCAATGTTACTTACCTACCACAAGGCCAAAATGTTCTCTTAAACCTCCCAACTCAAAACTAAGTTTGAAATCATCTCTATGAAGTTGACACAACTTCGCAGCAGTGTTCTAAGGTTACAAGGGTTGGTTGGTTGGTCTGTACAATTGCATTTGTATTTACTTACACAAAATAATATTTAAGTATGTTGCATTTTGAGAGACTAATGCTGGTTCCACCAATAGGTTGTAGTCATTAATTTAGTTAATATGAAAAATTGTAATTATCCATTAAACTATACTTTTGTTGACCTTTGTCTTTTAGTAACCAGTCTACATAATAGACCTCATAAAATTCTTAAAATGTAATGTGGGTTCTATAGGAAAGGGAAGTTCTATGAAATTTAAAACATGAAAGTCCAAAATTAACTTTATTTGTATACTTTTCACATAATATTATTGTAACAAAACTTAAACTTTACAAAAATCAAGTTAATATAATATTAACCCTTTTTTATGGCAGAGAAACATTGATTTCTAGATAGTAACTTTAGTCTGATAATAATCAAGAGCAACTCATTTAAACACAAGCTTAATAATTATTTTTGAAATGTGATTTCCACTTACTCTTCATTTTGATCTGTTTCATTTACATCTTCAAACTTATCTAATGCATATCTTTCATTAATTTTACCTTCAGATGAAGAAGGCTGTTGATCGTCATTTTCTAACGGAAATTCATTCTTTACCTTTCTGCAAAAAACATTTTCTTTTATGCAAGTTTCTTTTATATATTCAACTTCAGAAATATTTAAACCATGTGGCATCATTAGCTTATGTAAATCTGAATTTTCCTTGAAATTCTTTATTAGATTATCAACTTCTTTTTTGAATTCATCACTTATGTCTTTTTTAGTCAATGCTGCTCTTTCAATTACTTTTGCTCGATTGCACATTTCCTGTGACTTCTTGAGTAGCTGTAATTCATCCAAAACATTGTGTTTGTTTTTGTCGGAGGCCAATTGGAGAGCTTTTTTTAATCTTTTCTCAGCACAATCAAACTGACCAATCATTCTTAATGCTTTAGCATTTATAAAAAGAACTTTAGGATTGTTCCAAAGCTTGTTCAACCTTCTCAGCTCATTGCAAGCCGAACAAGCTTTCAATGGCTGTTTAGTCTGATTATAGCACAATGCTAGATTTATGTACGATTTTACTAGTAACTTTTCTTGTAATTTTTCCTCATTTTCGTCAGCCAAGCGACATTTGTGAAGTAGGTTTACTGCTTTTCTAAATACGCTTATGGCTGCTGAATAATTGTTGATTTTGTACAATGACCACCCTGAGGAAAGTAATAATCTAACTTCACGATCAACTCGACGAAACATGTTGGGCTCTGAGAAGTCTATAGGTCTGAAAAATAACATGTTTCATTATTATAATTTTCCCTTGCCTTTTAAATATTATATTATAGCATTCATAACTATCACTTACGCCTCCTTAGGTGTAATAATGCTTTTAACAAGTTTTATATAAAAGACAGAGCTGGTTTTTGCTTTGATTCGTGGAGGAATACCCATTTCTCCATACATAAGATGGTGCGTGAAGAGAAATATGGACACTTCACCAACTAACATAGACTTGATAGCAATTTGTAAACCAGGTAATAAACCATTTTCTTTCAAATCTACAACCTAAAAAAACGAATATAACTAAGTAAATAATCAATTAGCGATAATTTGAAAGCCATAGACATTATTGATTTCATACAAACCAAAGGTTTATGAAGGCTGCGTGCATCAAATGCTTCACACTCATTTTCCCAGTACCCAGAAAAGGCAACTGAGACTGTATTACCATCGTGCAATGGTATGCCACCTCCTTCTTCGATAATTTTCTTTTTAACATAACCATCTTCATCAATTGACTTCAAAGTCTTCTCCAATTCTTTGAAATCTTTCACAGGTTGCCCAATGAAGTCAATATGCTTAGCTCTTGGTTGGTCTGGATCTGTATATGGCTCAGCCTCATCATATACTTCGTTTATGTGAATTACTGAACCAGTAGTCATAAGTTCTCTAGAAAAAATAAAAGAGGGTAGGGCTAATGTTTTGTCGAAGAAACAAACACAATAATGTTCACCGCAGCTAGTACCTCAAATCTATGCCATCTTCCAATGGAACCGTAGTTGGTTTTTCCTCCATTTTTAATAGTTATTTCATTCACAAACAAATAATAATTCGAGTTTTTTACTTGCTTTGTAGAGCGCAACAAAATCGAATAAAGTATTTTTTTTTTTTTTTCTTCTTTCTGGCTCTCGCGGATTGCGTTTAGCCACGACAGGGTTCTTGATCTTGAGTTTTGCGTTTGCGTATGTTTTGCGTTTGGTTTTGCGGACATTGCGTTTGGACAGGGTGGGATTAGGTTAAAAGGTAGGGAAACGAATTATTAAAAATTACGGAAGGAAACGGAACAAAAGGATTATTTGATAGGATCATTGTTTATAGCGGATAAGGATAACAAAAGCAAGTATTTACATATTAAAAAATAAAATATATACACTATTTACAACTTAATATTATTATGAGTAATATATGCAGCTAGAATATTATAGATATTACAATCATTAGAATTTAAGAGGCAAGTGATAGAGGTAGGGAAAGGAACATGGATGGATAAAAGTGAGTTAATAAAAGAGGAACGGTCATAAAGGCAACAATTAAAAAATATGTGGTTCATATCTCCCACATCAGACCCACAGGAACACATATCACTGTCTATAACATGAATTTTGGCCAAGTGTGCTGGAGTGCACAAATGTCCAAGTCTCATTCTTGTCAAAGTAGTAGTAACCCTTTTTGAAAGATTCATTTTAGCAAACCATGGCTTAAAAGGAATAGATGGTTGAATAAGCTTATAATGCTTCCCCTTAGATTGACTAGTCACTTCCCAATTCTCCTCCCAGGCAGACCTGAGATAAGTTTTGGGAAGGGCTGCTGTTAAATCATGGCAATAATTAGTATAAGGATAAATATCTCCACATTCAATCGCTTCATTGGCTAGTTTATCGGCTTTATCGTTTCCTGTAATGTTACTATGACTAGGAATCCACGCAAAATGTATTGAATAACCGTTTAAATGACATTTATATAATAATTGTCTGCATTCCATGATAACAGGATAACTGGTATTACTCTTAAACGGAAATTTTAATAATGCTTGCAAAGCACTTTTAGAATCGGAAAAAATAATAGTTTTGTCTAATTTCATAAGAAGCGCATACTCTAAGGATTTAAATATTCCAAAACATTCCCCTGTAAAAACAGACGACTCAGGAGGAAGTTTAACTTGTTGTAAAATTCGGTATTGTTGATGGAATACGCCAACTCCAACGTGACCCGTTGGTGAGTGTTTAGATGCATCGCAGTAAAGATGATGCCAATCATGCCAGTTCTCATCTAATATCTGTCTAAATTTAATATCAGCATTGTGATCATCCTTGTTTACGTCTAAATTAAGATGTACTGTCGGAGCAAGAATCAGGGACTCAAAACTAACAGAAAAAAGCGGAAGGAAGCNAACTTTTATAAAAGTGAAAAACTTACCAATAAACCGGAATTTTAGCACTACTTATATTAAATATATACAAATAATTAATATACACACTATTTTACAATTGATCCTATACAATACACTATTTAAATAATTAAAATATCAAAAGAGCAAAAAAAAGACGACCGAACAAACCGACGTTTCCCGCGCTTTTTTTCCGAATAAAGTAAAGTCCATGAAAGTTTTTGACAGTTTAGTTTTGACAATTGACATTGACATCTATCGTTCGTTCAGGAAAGAAGAAGAAGAACAATATTTATTATAGATGTATCCATTATAGCTTCGAGCAAATTACTTTTTATTTTTTATGGAAATGCTTTAATCTAGTAGATTTTAGGTAGGCCCAGGCCCCTCTTTCCCACTGGGCACTTTGGGCACGTGCCCAGGGCCCCGCGATCGAGGGGGCCCCCAGTGCTACCAACTCTCAAAAATATTTATCCCTAAAGTTGTGTCAAAACCCCCTAAAATCGCCTTAAATAAAAATTTAAAAATATGTATTTAAAGAGTCAAAAAAACCCTAAAAAAATCCCATCTCACTTATTTACCCCCTAAATCTGGGGGGAAAACCCCTAAGTTGGTAACACTGGGGGCCCCTGTCTACTCAAAAGACCTTTCTCCAGACGAATATGGGCCCCCCTTGATCTTTAAGTGCCCAGGGCCTAATAGGTTAAAGACGGCCCTGGGTAGGCCGATTGATCTTATACATTTACATTAAAAAAACTCATAAGTATGGATCTATTTTAATTTTATTACTTAGATACAAATATTACGTCTAATTTACATTTCTTTTAATACAAAATTTTATTGAGCTTTTGATTTTGAGGCCATCGTTTGTCTCAGAACAGCAATGTATGACGATATGAGGTCGTCCATCTTGTATCCAAGTGACGTTTCGCAGAGGATCTTGGTTCCGCGAAGGATGTTGCCCATCGTCATGTGGAAGAACGTGTTGCCAGAAGACCAGTTAGAGAGTTGAGAGAACGGATGCGTTACGAGGACCTCCTGTAAAATAAAAATTAAAAATGTTAGCCAGGCTAGATTTATGAGGGTAGACAACCAAAAACTAAACCATAGATAAAATATGAAAATCATAGTTTGAGCAAAGTTTTCTGGAATCAAGGAAAAGATGGCGACACAACGCGGTCACACGCGGTAAGTTTAAAAGTATGTTTTTTTTTTTTCATATGTAAATATAAGAATTAATTTAACTTACCCGACTTTGAGGATGAATCACACTGACGCCATTTTTATTGATTCCTATTACAACCATTTCTGGATACGAGGGGTCAGAAGTTTGCTTCACTTCAAAGAAAGCAGTACCGAAAGTCGGCAGCTGATAAATTTTTTTTAGGAAATTCTCCTTCGCTTCATTTGCTGTCATATTGCCTTGTTGTAAGTAAGCAGTGTTGATGGATGATTTCCACTGGGAGTTCGTTTGTATCCTAACCATGTCAGAAGGTATGAAATCCTCGAGCATTTGTGTTATTTGTGGGAGCAATGTCTGATCACCGCCAAACCGAGCTCTGTAGACGAGAGCCGCCAATTCCACCAAATCTTGTTTTGACGTCTTGTGGTATCCCCGCAAATACTTGGGCAACTCTTGTGGGTAGTAGAAGATTTGATCAGCATTCTTGTCTTTGCCCGGAAGAGTGTTTATCCAGAGTTTCTTCATGAAGAATATTTGATAGTTCATTTGCACTTGGCTTCCAGCTGTAAACAAATATTAATATTAGTCAACTAAATACACAAAACTAAAAAAAAGATGCATGACCCAAACATTAAGGTACTAAGACTTACCGCCTCGTACAGGCCGGGTTTGTTTCATCCATTCCACTAACTCGTACACAAAATCGAAGAAGTAGTAGTTTTCTGGTACGGAAAATACTTTATCTGCAATCTTTACAAACAAACTGAACCCATCACTATTCTTCAGACTGAGTCGGCCAGTTATTTGTTCACATAGTTCTTTCGCCTTCGTGGAAGAATCCACCTCGAATGCCTCATCGGTGTCGTCAGGGAAATACACCTTGTGGTATATCTGCATACTTCTGTGCTGAATAGCTTCTACCTCCACGACGTAAGGGGCGTAGATTCTAGATCCACATTTCTGTATTTTGAAATGTCGTTTTAAACATTCTTTAGCTATTGGATGCGGGCGGGTCTTCAAGAATTCCACTAATTCTTTTTGTAACAATTGTCCGCAAGAGAACACCCCTGTGGCCAGCCACATCAGTTCCCAGCCACGTTCCTCACTCAGCTGAATTCTGTTATTCGTCAGCTGTTTCATGATCTGGCAGTATATTTCATCGCGAAGCGCAGGCTCCGTTAGAGGTGCTCTGAATATTTCATCCGTATACTCAGTGGCAGTCCTCGCTTTCGGAGCTGGCATATCGCCCATATACTTCAGTATACCAAAGAATGCTGCGACCGCAATTTTAGCAACATTTTCATCTTGCAACTTCCGCAAAAGTGGTCTACGGAGCGGTTCTCTAGAGTGAGCCCACAGATCAGGAGCCACTGCTCTCTTTGCAGTAGTCAAAGTCGACTGTCGAGATATAGTGGTATTTATATCAATGTCTTCTCTGAAGTGTTCCTTGGCGAACTTCTCAAGCGTATGCATACGTTTCCTCTGAATAGTATTATATTTGGAAGGAGTCTTTCTGTCGTTATTTATGTTGCCCTTCTTGAATATCTCTAGTATTGTACTAGAAGGCGCTGTCATAGTAGGTAAGATATACACTTGTTCTGTTGGGAATAGACCTTCTTGATCATTGCAAATACCGTGACCCCAAGTGGAGTTCATTAGTGTTTCTCCGGTGCAGTCTTGCAAGAGAGTGATGAGATCACCCTTTTTGTATTGCAAGAACGAGGATGCATCACTGTAGCCCTGAGAATCAGTTTGGGCAACAACATAAATGGAACGTCTCTTCAGCCCATCAATCAAATAAATGATAAGCGCACTCATTTCGCTCGCATCCATGCTCTGGAACACGAACTCTTCTTGTTGAATAGTCCTTATCGTGATTCTTCCCAAATTTTCGAAATCCGGGTCCTCGTTGTATGCTACATACGTCACTTCAGAAAATGATATTTCGAGGAGTATTTGCTCTAGCTGATCCACAATGTAAACACCAGTCCAATTGACTGCGATAATTACTATATCCTTGTTTATATTCTCACCCTTAATTTTAACTGCTTCGAAAAATCTAGAAAATAGCATGGGCCATTTCAATTTTGCAAAAATAACGATATCTTCCTTGCAGTTTAAGGGGTCTACTTTCGATTTAACGCTCTGGGCGGACTCAAAAGCTTTTGTGACCAGGTGTTCCCATTTAGTTAGTGCAGCATCGTTTGATTGAATGAACTGGTTGGGTATATAATTGACAATAACTTTCCGTAATACATTGGGGTCGATACGCGCGCCATATTCGATATAGTGTTGCTGAGCTGCTATCATTGCTAAGTCTTTTTCTGAGTCACATCGGTATTCACCGAATTTAACACCCTTTGCTACTTGACAGTATATTAAATGGGTGGCAATTGGATCGTCACTTGGATTGTGCCACGGCGTGAACACCTCTTTCCTGAAGAATAATCTCCATGGTGCACTCTTCTCTGGAGTTCCTTGTTCTTTCGCAAATTGCTCACATTGGGACACTGCGTCCATAATGTGTT